GGCGGGGGCGGTGTGGGCAGGAGGGCGGCGGGGGGGGGAGGCGGCTCCGGGGCGGGGGGAGCGGAAGCAGCAGCCCAGGGCAGGGTCGGGAGGAAGCCGCAGCAGCAGCCGCAGCAGCCGCGGGCGAGGCCAGGCGAGGTAGTGCCCTTCGCAGCAGCCGAGCAGGCGGCTTCTTTGCTCCTCGCCCAGCGGTGGGGGTAGGGGGAGACCAGGGGCGGTGGGTGTGTGCCAGGCTGGGTGGGGACGACCAGGCACCGACTTTGCAAGACACCTCCCCTCCGGAATTTATGGAGGGTATCCTCCCAGGTTGCCCCCATTGGTGGTTGCATGGCTGCTTCCAGCCATGCCAAGTTCTGGACAAGCTGGCATGGAGCTGCCAGTTCTGGGATCTCATCATAGCCCCCTCTGGTGCAAGTCACTTATCCCCCAGCACGAAGGGGGCTCCCTCCAGGATCTCTAAAATTCCCTATCCACATGAGACCCCATCCTAACACTATATCTAATCCATGGGATGGGAGACATAGGGCATATCATAGCCCCCCTCGTCAGTTTCCTGCCCCCAGCACTAAGGGGATCCTGCAGGATCTCTTAAGATTCGCCACCCAGGTGCCCTTTCCATTTGGGGCATCAAACCTGAGCATGAAAAGTCACACCAGTGGTCTCATTTCCCCCCACCCCTCTCCCCTCTTTTCTGAACTACAGGTAATAAATAGTTCACTTAACGTCCACAATCAGGACCAGAATTGACTCCATAGTTAAGCGAGTTGCGCCCGATTTAACAACCTTTATTTCCAAGCTTCTTCAGAGAATCACTGCTGTTGTTAAGCTAATTGCACAGTCATTAAGTGAATCTGAGTACTCCCATTGACTTTGCTTGTTGGAAGCCAGCTGGGAAGGTTATAGATGGTGATCATGTGACCTTGGGACACTGCATCCTTCACAAATACTGTGCCGATTCCCAAGTGCCCAAATTCTCATCATGTAACTATGCGGATGTTGGCACAATCATAAGTGCAAGATTTGGTCATAAGTCACTATTTTCAGTGCCATCATTTCAAACAGCCACTAAACAAATGGTTGTAAGCTGAGGATTACCCATATTAATTAAAATGCAATTTAAACATAGAAAATCTATGCTATGTTTGGTGAGATAATTTACCCCCAGGCCCTATTAAAAGGATACACAAACAGACCAGTTTATGACTTTGTTTGTGCTTATAGTTTAATGCATGTCGGTTTGGTCAACTCTCATTAAACTGTATTAAACTGTAACAAAAGCATTGAACTATGTAACTCAACAAAGCCATAAGTCAGTATCATCATTAATTCATAATTAGTTTAATTGTTCTCATCGTTAGAAAATTTCTCCTAGAACTAAGGAGAAATTTCCTAACCGGAGGAACAATTAACCAGTGGAACGGCTTGCCACAAGAGGTTGTGGGTGCTCCATCACTGGAGCCTTTTAAGAAGAGATTGGACAGGCATTTGTCCTGAATGGTGTTGGGTCTCCTGCATGAGCAGGGGGTTGGACTAGAAGACCTCTGAGGTCCCTTCCAGCACATTCTATGTTCAGGTCTTTGAGGCCTGTGTTTCCACAAGGCTACCAACCTAAGCTAAGCCATTTTCTGGGGTTGCTTGCACAAGTTGTGGGAGCTTCATCACTGGAAGTTTTCAAGAAGAGTCTGGACTGCCATCTGTGTAGGGTCTCCTGCTTGGGTGGGGGGTTGGACTAGATGACCTACAAGGTCCCTTCCAACTCTTTTAATATGTTAAATCTATGGTACTCTCAACAAACCCAGTGGACTGCATTCAGACAATCAGAATGAATAGAGTAGAGTAGAGCGAGAGTAGAGTAGAACAGAACACAACAGAACAGAACAGAATTCTTTATAGGCCAAGTGTGATTGGACACACAAGGAATTTGTCTTTGGTGCCTATGCTCTCAGTGTACATAAAAAGACAAGATTCATCAAGAATCATAAGGTACAACATTTAATGATAGTCACAGGGTACAAATAAGCAATCAAGAAAAAA